TTATGGAATAAGCGCAGTATGCTTTCAAAAGGAGACTTCCAAGAGCAAGATGGGCTGGATCAGAAAGAAGTAGAGCAGGTGGGCCTTGAACCAACTGTTGGAGCTGCAGGCCACTGTTCTACCCACTATGCCACAACATAAGCCACCCATCTAGAGTGTCTCTGTCCTCTCACCTTGGACCCTTTGGCTCTCCTATTTGTTGAACCTCTCAGGCATGTGCAAATATGTTCTAAGTGCTCATTTTTTGAACATGTAAGTTTTATTTTCTGAAGTACTGTCATCAAACACAGTCCTCTCCAGAGCTAAGCTTTTATGGCTCTTGAGAAACCCAACCAGTTAAGCTGCTTTAACTGAAGATGGATGATTGATACATAGTTAAGCCTCTGCTTGGGATGCCCACACCCCGTTTGGGGTCTCTGTGAATCAGTCCTAGCTCCGATCCTGTTCTAGCTTCCTGCTAATGGTCACTGCAAGAGGCTAGAGTGGAGCAGGCCTGGTTTGAGTTTCTGGCTCCTGGCTTCATCCCGTCCCAGCCTTGGCTGTTGTGGCCATTTGTGTAGTCTGTCTCTGGATCTCTTCCCATTCCTGTTCTTCTCAAATGAAAATATGAGATGGAGTTGAGGACAGGATTGGAAAAAATCCTATACCTTAAATTCCAACTTGTCAACCCTTGGTGGGAAAGTCAACAACCTTCTCCCCCATCCCCGCAAATGTGCACTGGCTTTTGTAGAAGTATAGTCTACTTAAACCTGTGTTCTTGGATTATAAGGGGAAATGCATGAATCCTTTTTTTCCGAAGAGTCACTTTCCTCTGTAGTTTTTCAGTGCTACATTTTCTGATGTTAAAAGCTAATTCAGGGCCCAGCACGGTGGCCTAGAGGCTAAAGTCCTCACCTTGAACGTGTCCAGGATCCCATATGGGTGTCGGTTCTAATCCCGGCAGCTCCACTTCCCATCCAGCTCCCTGCTTGTGGCCTGGGAAAGCAGTAGAGGATGGCCCAAAATCTTGGGACTCTGCATCCATGGTGGGAGACCTGGAAGAAACTTGGCTCTTGGCTTCAGATCAGATCAACTCCAACCACTGTGGTCACTGGGGAGTGAACCAGCAGACAGAAGATCTTTCTCACTGTATCCTCTTTGTAACTCTGGCTTTCCAATAAAAATAAGAAAATCTTTTTAAGAATAAATGTTAAGTTAAAAATAACAAAGAGCACGCTGTCCATCCTGAAACCAGAAACACCAAAATTGAAAATTAAACCAAGATCCCAACCTCACACGATAAACTTTAGGAAATGTCATCCAGGAAAAGAAAAAAAAAAAAAAATGGACCAAATTGGAAGCCAAAGCATCAAGCATTACAAGGAGGGATTCCAAAAAGTCTCACTGTTTTTGGATATGTTGTTGTTCAGCTTGAAGGTGTTCCAGAAGGAAGGCCTGGAACACCCCACATCTGTACTGGGGACCTCTCTTTCTACCAAGGTGTCTGCCACGTGAGAAAACTCAGTGAGGTTTTCTGTCTTTCCTGCCTCTGGTGTGTCTGTACAAGGAATGAGGAAAGCATCTGCTGGCAGTCAGCATTGCAGCTGAACCCAGAGCAGGTTCCACTAGTCATGGGAAACAAGCCCTCAGCCAAAACCCCCAGAATACCCCAGCTACATTTATGTTCCTCAGAACTAAGGAACTGGGTCTGCCTCAGTGGCGGCTCCATCCCTACTCCTTCTAGGCTGCTGCTGACTATATCTTTAATCCATGGCCATCCAGTCCACATTAAAAGTGAGAGAACCAAGGCCAGCATGGTAGCCTAATGACTAAAGCCCTCGCCTTGCATGCGCAACAGGATCCCATATGGGCACCAAGTTCTAATCCCAGCAACCCACTTCCCATCCAGCTCCCTGCTTGTGGCCTGGGAGGGCAGTCAAAGACGGCCCAAAGCCTTGGGACCCTGCACATGCGTGGGAGACATGGAGGAGGCTCCTGGCTCCCGGCTTCGGATTGGCACAGCTCCAGCCATTGCAGCCACTTGGGAGTGGATCATCAGATGGAAGATCTTCCTCTCTATCTCTCCTCCTATCTGTTTATCTGACTTTCCAGTAATAATAAATACATCTTTTCTAAAAAAAAAAAAAAAAGTGAGAGAACCAAAAAATACCAAATCAGCGCTGTCTAGGGGAAGAGGGCAGACCGGGAAAGGTCAGGTCTCATTTGTTACAGTTCCAGGTCACAGTTTACAGACACACATACAAAAAGTCATGGATTTGCATAAGAAGAAAGTAGCACAGCCTGCTGAAAATAAGGCTTTCAAAGAGTGCTACCACTCAAGCTCACCAAGCGCAAGTGTTCTCTGTGTATTAACACCACTGACCTTCACAAGCAATGCTTCAAGGCAAACACTAGCATCCTCCCCATTGTACAGAGGGGAAAAACAAGGCACAAAGAGGATAAGAAGTCTGTCCAGCTTCTAAGGAAGGGCCAGGCTCTGAATAGAGGCATCCTGTGTGCAGAGCGTGTTACCAACTGTGCTGCTCTCCTACCCCCAGAGACAAACCACATGCTAGGCAACCACTTTGTACTGTTTAGGATGTGCAAAATGACAGAAAGGTACTAACCAGGCACCTTTGCTTTGAAGCCACAAGAGGGAAGAAAACCAAGAGAAAGAAAAGATACAAGCTCAGGAATGAGGGATCCAATACGGAAGAGCAGTTCAGGACATTTCCCGGGTGGGAACTGTGCAGTAGGTCTAAGGAAGTATCATTGGAAACAGGAATTGCAAAGGGAAAGATTCAAACAGTGTAGTGAACAATTGGAGGAGGTATTGCTGGTCATTATGGATCTGTAAGAACATCTGGCAAAAATCAGCAGTAGATATAAATAAAACGAAGCAGATTTTTCTTTGACAAGATGGTTATTAACTAGGTGAAAATTCTGCATGCTAAAGAAAACTCTTTAGTAAAATTATGAATCCAGTTTATATGTAATATATAATGCATATTTATATGTTTATATATCTATTATGTCAACTCTCCAGTACTCACATAGTATTATATACATATAATGTAAATACTGTTAATTTAAAATTGTTGGTGTAACCATTAGTGGGGTGATAGAGAAGGATGATGATGAAAGAGTTTGAATCTCCAACTTCTGTAATTTGGACAGTGTCCCAAAGGATCAACCAAAAGGTAATAATACGTGTGATTTATAAATGTGACGGTCAATGCCAGAAGACACAGCTGAAGTACTCTGTGTGGCGTATGACTGTCAGGTAGGGAGACGGGTTAAGGTGGATGAGGGCGTTGGCTGCTCTCCGGTTGTAAGCAGTTTGGTATTCTTTTTTTTTTTTTTTAACTGCACAAATCCAAAATAAACTAGCATAGATGAGATTTTAAGACTTTTCCCAAAACCACATTTAAAAACATGTACAAAGAAAAACAAAAAAGAAATGTACAAAAATTGCTTTTTTTTTTTTAATTACCAAAGAATCTAACCAAGAACATTTTAATGAAAAGCTGTGTCAAGCGCTTCTTGGAAATTAGAGATAGATTTCCTAGATGTGGTTCCAGAGAGCCTTCATTACCTTCACCTTAAAAAAAAATGTTCTGTCAAAGGAATGGGATCACATACTTACTTCCACCCTCTAATTGTCTGCTTTTGGTTTCTCGAGATACTAAAGAAAGGACCTTTATTTTAGCACTTGGGTGGAGGCGTCACAGGGCCATCTGTAGGATGGATCCGCTGCTAGGAAAAGGGCCATACCCACTAACGGGAGAGGAGGTGGCTTTCACCGCCTTGTGATCTTTGAATATGCTGTGTTTAGATGAACTCTACACTCCCATGGCAAATCGAACAAGTGCCATGTTTCTCTTACGTGTCACGATTTTTCTGGCCCCGTTGGGATCCTCTGCTGATGCCCTGCCATGTCACATGCAGACAAAACTGTGTTGACCATGCAGCAGGTTCAAAGGGGAGACCACAGCAAGTGCCTCGTGCATGTTCAGGGGTCTGCGTGACGATGAACCTCCAACAGCTGTGCAGAGGGGCACTGCTCAAGTCAAGGGAAGTCAGTAGCGTAGACAGGGATTTAAGACAAAGGTACAGAAACCTGGAAGAGTCTGAAGGGGCCACACCATGGGCTTTAAAATGGGAGGCTGATCATCTTGGCCCTGCAGGGGCAGGGACAAGGGAGAGAAATCACACGGTTGTTTCAGTAGCAGTGTAGATATCTGTGGGAGCGCGATGGGGAAAGTGGCTGTGTAAGTAGTGGGGGGTCTCAGGGATCTGTACAGTACTCTGCTGGAAGTGATTGTGGGAGAAGGAACACAGTCAGTGGGAGAGAGGACATACAGGGAGGGGGTTGGGAGGAGCTGAAGATGGTGTCAGCTTTGCTGGAGAGGTTGAGGAAAGATCATGAAAAAAGTGTGTTTCATCATGCTGAGATGGAGCTGCTGCCAAGATGCTGTCAGAATTCTGATCCCTGAAAATCCTTAGCAAAGGTTCATATGATGTTGGTGACTGACTGAGCTTCTCCCCAAGATTGCATCTCAGTTTCTGAGAGTTTGCACAGCGCCCAGGGAGCAGCCTACTCCTGCTGGGCTTGGTATGTGACTCCTGATGACCTTCCTCTGGCAGCCAGTATGTGTGATCTGTGTCACACCAGGCTCATGGCCTTCGGTTCTGACCCCTCTTGCCTCCCTTCAATATTCCTTAAAGATTTACCCAAAGATATTCGCAGTTTTGCTTCCTTCTTTTCATGACAGAAAAGCTAACGCAGGATTCAGGTTCAAACTGAGCACACGTGTGCAGGTAGAGTAAGGAGCAGGTAGACAGTGGGAACCCAGTGGCAGCGGGACTCCTTGCACCATCAGTTCAGCAGTGGCTGATACTGTTGACAGGCCCAGTTGAATGGGTAAGAGGAGAGGTCATCTGTTCCCAAGCCAGCCAGCCAGCCAGCCAGCCAGCCAGTCAACCAGCCACATTTTGCTTTCTCTTTTTCTACTGTGCAGGTATGGCGGGGCACCCTGGCCCGCATGCGGTACAAGAAGACCAAGGCAGCCCTTACAATAATCAGGTACTATCGGCGTTACAAAGTCAAGTCGTATATCCACGAGGTGGCCAGCCGTTTCCAGGGCGTCCAGACTATGAGAGATTACGGAAAGCACGTGAAGTGGCCCACCCCTCCGAAGGTTCTTCGCCGATTCGAGGAGTGTCTGCAGGCGATTTTCAACAGGTAAGCACCTTGTGGCACCAGCTCCCACCCTTACAGCAACCAGGACTGTTGCCTACTGTCTTTACTTTTGCAGATTTTGCTCTCAAAGGGCAGCTATTTAACTCAACCTGTGGAAAAATCCTTTAACTTCTGCCAAAGTAGGTGACAGCATAGTGCTGCTACCAGCCCTGGACCCAAGACCTGTTGAAAATGAGCTGCTAGCACACTGTCTCTGCTCTGGCTTATTAGCAATCAGTAACTGGTGCTTGAAACTCCCTCACCTTGTTCAAAGAAAAACCCCTCAGTGGAACAGCTCTGGATCCTGCTGTTCCGGGCCTTTCCTCCTCAGAGGCCTGTCTGATGTAACAAGGGGCTTTAACCCAGACCGAGATGGCATTGCCCCAGTGACTTTAAAGTGCAGGCAAAGAGAAGGAAAACAGATGTCTTAAGATAAACCTTTTTTTTTTTTTAAAGTAAGCAAACACCCATATATCAGGACCTTTCCATCTACTCTTCATTTTTTTATTGCTGTTTTGTTTTGAGTGAAGTGTCCTGCGTTGGAACCTGCCCTTTCCCATCACCTTTGAACTTCCTTGGTGCCAGCTTGCACCAGACATGCAGTCATCCTTGGGTGTCACTAGGAGATAAGAACCAGGACCCTCCGTCAATACTAAAATCTGTGAATGCTCAGGTCATTTCTATAAAATGAACAGGGGAGAGGGACTGATGCAGTGGTTCAACAGGCCAGTCCTCCACCTACAAGTGCCACATCCCATAAAGGCACCTGTTCATGCTCCACTTCCCTTCTAGCTCCCTGCTTATGGCCTGGGAAGTCAGCAGAGCATGACCCAAAGCCATGGAGACCTTGCACCCGTATGGGAGACCTGAAGAGGCTCCCAGCTCCTAGCATCACATCAGCTTAGCTCTGGCAGTTCGGGGAGTGAACCAGCAGATTTAAGATCTTTCTCTCTGTTTCTCCTTCTCTCTGTAAGTCTGCCTGTCAAGTTAAATAAATCATTTTTTTAAAAAAAAAGCAGTATGGTATTTCTATGTAACTCACTCATGCCTTCCCAAATACTCTGAATCATTTCTAAGTTACTTATAAAAGCTAATGAAAAGTAAATCCTGTGTGAATAGTTGCTACACTGTGTTGTTTAGGGAGTGATGACAAGGTAAACAATTCTACCTGAGTTTGGTACAGTCACAACTGCTGCAGGCCTAACTACTTCTCTCCTGAAGTTGACTGAACATGCAGCTGTGCAGCTGTGGAGCTGGGATGGTGGTGTTGGGATACCGCTGTCTTGCAGATGGCCGTCTGGTCACACACACTAAGATGGCCATTTGGTATCACACAACAAGAACACTAACTGATACCCAAAATGTGAAAGAACTAATTTATAAATTAATGCTAAATCAGACTCTATCCTCTTTAGATTTTTGCTTTATATAATGGTGGAAGGTGTCAAAAAATAAAGAAAAATGCATGAAAGAAAAGCCCCTTTAGAAGTATCTCATATGCATTTTTCTAAAAATAAATGGCTGCTCATAAAAAGAAAAAATTCAAACAGTTATTGAAGGCACAAGTACCTCCACTCTCAGATGTGTTACCATAAACATTAGTTTTCAGTCTTGGCCAACTTTTAAGTCTTATTTATTTTTATTTTATTAGAAAGGCAGAGACAGAGAGATAATCTGTCTTCTGGTTCACCCTCCAAGTGCTCACGATGGCCTGGAACTCGTTCTGAAGCTCCTTGGGGCTGTCGGCAGGCCAGGTATTTTGAGTCATTCCTTGGGGTCTACAAGGACACACCTTAGCAGAAAGCTGGATCGGAAGCCAGGGAGCCAAGAAGTGAGACAGACTCCCAGGAGGGGTGAGCTGCTGCACCAAAGGCCTGCCCCCTGGGCAGGAGTTTTAATGCAAATATAAAATCTTTACATGAATGGCATCATTGGTAAACTGCTTTCTGACATAATGTAAATTACACAAGAAGCTGGAATTAGAAGCAGAGCTACCTGGGCTCACACCACATGGGACTGTCCCACGTGGGATGCCGGTGTGTCCGGCCTCTTACCCACTTCGCCCCCTGCCCAGTGTTGTGTTTTTGGCTGCAAGTGAGCACTGTTGATTTCAGTATGATCTCACTGTGGCCTGTTCAGTCATTGCTTTGATTGTTGAGATTTTATTTGTGTGGCCTAGAACTGATGAATTTGTATAGAACTCAGCATGCTATTTCAGCAAGTATTTAATAACTGCCTGTGTGCTAATGCACTGATCTGCAGATATGCAGTGCCAGAAAGAAGAAAAGGCAGCCCAGCCATTGCTGTGGTGGATGCACACAGACACAACACACACACACACCTTTTTGAGATTTATTTTTGTTTACTTGAAAGACAGTGTTAGAGAAATCAATCTTCCCTCTACTGGTTCACTCCCTAAATGGCCACAATGCCCTGAGGCAGAGTGGGCCAGGCTGAAGCCATGAGCTTCATCCAGATATCCCACGCGGTTGGCAGGGGTTCAAGAACTTGAGCCATCCACTGCTGCTTTCCAGGCCATTTGCAGGGAGCTGGATCAGAAGTGGAACAGCTGGGACTTGAACTGGTGCCCATACAGGATGCTGGTGTTGCAGATGGAGACTTTAGTTGCGACACCACATTGTCATCCCCCTAACCCCAGCCCTGCCCACCATCCCACACATACTCTGAAAACCTGTCTTGCTGGCTGCAATGACCTTATCAGGGGTCAACTAAGTTTTTCCTGTCCGACCCAGTGGAAACTTACAGGCTTTGTACATTACAAGTAGTCTCTAGCTCATGTTCTTTGTTTTTGTTGAACATATGTAAAATTGCTTTGGAAACTAGTCTTAGCTGATGGGCAGAACCAAAATAGTCCATGCATCAGATATGGCACAGGCTGCAATTCACCAACCTGATCATGAATTTTTGGAGTTATGAAATACTGAAAGAAGTTTGTTAAGGGATTCCACTCTTACTGGGCTGGATTTTTTTTTCTTTTAATTTTTCCAATCTGAGTGTGCCTGTCATCGTGTTTAAGATCACCCCAGTCCTTTGCAGTAGTCGTTTTGCATCATGCCTCCTTAGCACCCATCCTTTTTCAAATCGGGAAGGCTGGTGTCTCACAGCCGGGCTGCTGAGTGCCAGCTGCTCATACTCACTGTGATGGACTGCTAGGTCAGGATGAGAGGCACATGGCTCCCACCAGGGTTGTGTAGAGCAGGCTCGGACACCCCAGCAAGGGGCCGAGCTGTGGACCTCTGTAGTCTGTTGAGTTCAGGCCTTATCCTGGGCCACTGTGGGCAGTGAAGAAGGGGCAGGATGAGCAGGCACAAAGGCCGGGAACACATCAGCAGACAGAGCAGACTGCCCTCTGGTAATGAGACTCGGAATTCGTGGGCTAATTGGGGAAGGTATTTAGCAAGTGAGTAACTTAGTGCTGCACGGCCTGTGTGTCACCAGTGTCCTTGACTTTGACCACCAACCGTTCCAAACCTGTCCCTCTCCCAGCCTCTCTGGATGAGCCTGAAACATCCTGTCACACAGAGGAAAGGATCTCAGTGTTACATAGAGCCCTTACTTTGTCTTGGTTGTTGTCTGGGCAATCTGCCATCTCTGACCTTCTGTGTCACAGCAGATGCCCCACCCCACCACCAGCCCGTCCAGAGTTCCCACCTTGAGATCCATCAACTCCTGACCTTGCTACCAGCCCCTACTGTGACAGCCTCAGGGTTCTCTGGGCTTTGTCCAGAATCCTTGCATGCCTAAAGGTCTCTGTCCTGCAGAATGGATGGAGCCACACTGAGCCACCTCCCCTTCATCCCAATCCCGCCTTCTTTCTGTCTTCTCGAAAATCATCACATCTCCCACTTTATTATCATCTGTGTTTTCTGATGGTGTTACCAATTTTGCCTTATTTTTTTTTCCTAATTCTCTGATTATGTCAGTAAGTCTCATTCCAATGTTCTGTGGAAATATATGAGAATCACTGTTTTGGTAATTCACTTGATCGGAAGGAAGTTCTCAGTCTGCTCCAGATTGCCTGCTTGAAGCTCCTATGACAGAAAAGAGGACATTGTCCCTATTGTTTGGGATATACACTTTTGGTTGCTTAGGCAGTGAAGTCGTGGAGTTATCCTCAGTCTTCCCCTCACAACTAGTCCGTCAGCAAACCCTAATAACTCTTCGTTTAGAACAAATTCAGTTCCAGTGCTTGTCTCTGCCTGCACCACCTCCTCCTTGAGTCAAGCCACTTTCCTCTGGGTGTGCGATATGGGAGCAGCCTCCCACTACATCGTCCTCTTCCCAGCCTGCCAGTCATGGTGAGACTTCTAAGCCTGAGTCATTCTGCATCCTTCGTTCAGAACCTTCCAAGGGCATCTCATCTCGTTCAGAGTGAAGGCCTACGTCTTGGAGATGACCTCCTGGCCTTGTGGGCTGTAGCCTGGCTCTGCCTCAGCCTTCTGCCCTTCCTCATCCAGGTCTGAGCTGCACCGGCCTCTTGGCTGCTGCTCCAGTACATCTGGCAAATTCATGTGTCAAAGCCAGTGCACCTGCTGGGTTCTCTTTGCAGAACACTCCTGTTCCTACCTTCCCGGATCCCTCATACCTCACTCACTGTAGGTGTTTCTATTTGTGTATGGTGGTAGTACCTCCCTGGCCACTCACGTTCTTCTCCTCTACTGCACTCCCTGCCTTCTGCACACACCTGTCCCCATCTTCCCTATGGTCTATATGCCTTTGTATATTTACTGTGTGTTCTTCATAGAACACAAGCTCCTCGCACAAAGGAACTTTACCTTGCATACTGCTCTGCCTCTCCTGCCTGGAGGGCCTGGTGTATAGAAGATGCCCAGGAAATATTAACTGGGGCGGGTAATGGCCAAGTGGGTTGAGCCACTGCCTACAAACGCTGGCATCCTAAATGAGCTCAGGTCCCAGTCCAAGTTGCTCCACTTCTGATCCAGCTCCCTGCTGATGCACCTGGAAGCAGTACAAGATGGCCCAAGTGCCTGAGCCATTGCTACCCACATGGGAAATCCCAGTGGAGTTCCAGGTTCTTGTCTCTAGCCTGTCCTAGCCCTGGCCACTGTGGCTAGTTGGAGAGTGAACAAGTAGATGAAGATTTCTGTCTCTCCTGCTGTAACTATTCCTTTTAAGTAAATAAATAAATCTTTTACAAAGAAAATACTAGTTGCATGAACCAAAACTGAATCCCAGCTTTTCTGTGCTATAGATATAAATATTATGAAAGCCCAATGTAAGTTTTATAAATACCTATCTACATCAAACTATATGTATTTTAACCATTTCAACATTTATTTTGGAGACATGTACCTTTTCTTAGTGCAGCTTTGCAAATTCTTTGAGTTTGTCGTACCTGATGGCAGTAACTTCAGTTGCTACTGAGGATGAATGGATTATATATCTAATGTCTCATTCATTCTGTGTATTCACAGGTGGAGAGCAGCCCAGCTTATCAAGAGTCTACCTGCTTCAGACCTGCCACAGGTCCGGGCAAAGGTTGCAGCCATGGAGATGTTGAAGGGCCAGAGGGCTGACCTTGGCCTCCAGAGGGCCTGGGAGGGCAACTATCTGGCTTCGGTGAGTCCAAGAGAAGAGCATGGAACCTTCTTACCTGACCCCTTATAAAGAAAAAGCAGAATTTGTCTCCAAAAACTGTCCATTAATTCTGTAAAAGATACTGAGTTGGGTTTCATTGCTTCTAAATATACAGTGTCTGACATTTCCCCCCAGTCTAAAAAGGGCTGTATGTGGTGTGTCAGTGTGCCGGATGTATTCTGTAACCATTTGAAACTTCCCTTCCATTGTTCTACAACTGTGTCTTAATTACCGTCTCTCTAGTCATAATTCCTAAAGTTACATTTCATCTCCTCCCCCACTCCCTGCCTTGAAAATTCAGTCATTGACCTGTGATGCTATAATAACCCTCCAGTAGCTCACCACTGGGGATGGGGAAGCAGAAAGTCCACGTCTGAAACTGAGTAAGGACAGCAGTAGCGCAAAATGCTGAGAGTAACTCTTCCCTTAAAATCTGAGTTGGGACAAGGGCTGGCATTGGCCTTGTAGGGGGCCCACACCCCATAGCCTGGGCTCTGTGCTCAGCTCTGCTCCTGACTGCTGTCTTTGCTGATGCAGACACCAAGAGGCAGCAGTGGTGGCTGAAGTGACTGGGCTCTGACTTTCCGCATGGGAGACCTGGGCTAAGGTCTTGGCTTCCTGCTCCAGGCCAACATGGCCCCAGCATGTGGAGGCATACCGAATCAATAGACGGGACTGCGTGCCCAGTCACTATCTGTCTTTATCTCTCTAGATAAAATAAATATTTGGAAAATAAATTTTTTTAAATGCTGAGCATAGTCATTTTCTCATTTCCTTCTCCTTCCAGAAGCCAGATACACCTCAGATGTCAGGCACTTTCGTCCCTGTTGCCAATGAACTGAAACGGAAAGACAAATACATGAATGTCCTCTTTTCCTGTCACGTCCGGAAGGTAAGGTAAAGCTTGCAACAGGCCCCCTGGGGAGGAAAATGCCAACTCAGACACTCAGGCAAACCTGACAGCAGCCCCCTAGCAGCTGCTGCATCAAGGGGCTCCACCTGTCTGCCCTGGGGCCTTGTTGGAATGGTTTAGGTGACCACACTTTTAGGGTTAGGCTATAAAACTTTCTGAAGGCAAGTGCCTATACCACTTAATCTAGGAATTCCCATGGTTTAGCTTTTAGTCAACAAATATATTTACACAGGTAACGATATGTATGTACACACACAATTAAAAATGTGTTTCTACAATGTAACAGCCAAAAAACTTAGGAAAAATGTCAGAATGCAGGGGTATTTCCTCTCTTGGGGCCCCCATCCTGATGCTGCTCAGACGGTTTCTATCTTTACTAAATCTTGACTTTGCACACTACATCAGCAGATGATTGGATTAGTGAGTTGTTACATGTATATTAAATGGAAAAAGGACTGTATCCAAGGAGAAAGGACAGCATGTAAGACAATGGTCTTCAAGATCCTGGACATCCAGCAAGAGAAGACAGGAGCCCTAATGCAGCCAGTTAATTGCCATGGAAGACCCTTCAGTCTGTGGGGTGAACAGGGGGAGCCATGGTTGTGCCCCAATCTGTTCCCTAGGTAAAGCTGCATGCTGGAAGTGAGGAAGGCTTCTAGGGCTTGCAGAGCAAAGGGCAAAGAGGAGAGAGCTGCGCTGGGAGGGAATTCTAGAGATCTTTAGACAGTCCATCTGGAATGTTCAGCTGAGCACCTATCAGACATGCATGTGAGGAAACTGCTCAAGCCTGGGGAAAGAGCCACCACAGGATCAGAGGTGACCATTCCAGGTGTCACGTGGACAATGCCTGCCCCGCCAGTCCAACTAGAAAACCTCATGGTCATGGGGCCCTGCAGAGTCTTGTCCTTAACTGAACACCGCTGCAATCCTACCCAACAAATCTGAAAAGCACCTCCAGGGAGAATCCAGTGGTTTTCAGCCAAGTCTGTCAGCTTCTCAGGAGGAGGCTCAGAAATGTTTATAAGGATACAAAAATCTTCAACACCCAGACAGTAAAATTCAGAATGCATGACATCCAGTCCAAAATTGCCAGGAATCCAAAACAGCAGGAGACTGTAACTCATGATGAAATGAAAAATCAGTCAGTCATTCACGCTGACTCAGATTAAAAACTAGCAAACAATGTCATTAAAAGTTACTAATATTATATCCCGTGTCTTCAAAAGATGGAGGAAAGATCAGTAAACACAAAATTTAATGATTTGCATTCAATCCATAAGCTTGAAAAATACAAGGATTAAGTACACTCTGGGATTAACAGCAGTTTAGACTTTGCAGAGTAAAGGTTAGTAAGTTTGAAGAGGCAGCATAAAGCTGTCCAGAATTAAACAGAGAGCAAGAAAAGAGACTCATGGTGGCAGGAAGCTGCATGGCCTAATACACATGCAGGCCCTGAGCGGAAAAAGAAGAGAGAGGTAAAAACTGTTTGAAAAAACCATTAGCTATTATCTTTCCAAATTTGATGAAAACTGTAAGTGTGTAGATCCAAGAAGCTCAACAAACCCCAAGCACAAGAAGCACAGAGAAAATTATCCCAGGCCGTACTGTGAGCAAATCGCTCGGCAACAGAAGTCAAGGCAACACAATGGAGTGAAGATTAGCCTGCACACATCTCTTGTCAGAAGAGGCACGAATGGGAAAACAGAGAAACAGCATCTCTGGAGCACTGGGAAACTAGCCCTGCCAGCCTCACACTCTGCACTCAACAGACGATGCCATGAGATAAGACCTCCCAAGGCCACTGAGCAAGTGCACTTCCGGAAGTGTTACAGAATGCGCTCGGGCAGAGGGAGAGAGAAGTGGGGTTATGCCATCACAGCATTTCTACATACCAAGTGGGACTATGTGTATAAAAGTGTATTTGATAAATATACCCACCAAAATAGCAGCAGTTAAAAGCAACCGGTAATAATATGGGGTCTTTATAAACATCTTGTTGCAAAAGAAGGCAAAAAAAGTGAAAACAAGAACAATACACAAGTGGAACAAATAGAAACAAGTTGAAGAACCATAAATTGAAACCCAACCGTGTTGATAAGCACATTGAACGGCGCTGGTCCCAACACCGTAGTTAAAAGGCAGAGGTGGCATCTCAGCATGTGCATGTGGCCGTTTTAACCATGCTCTGAACCCCATGTTTCAGAGTTTGTGGTGTATTTCTTACAAATGTTTGAGCAGTTAAATCTTCGGCTGTTGGTAATTAACTTCTCTTTTCCCCTGGCCTCTCGCTGTGACAGGGAGTGGAGCTCAAAGTTCTGGCCGTCTCATCAGGCTTCAGTCTTCTCGGAAACCAGACCCCTTCCTGAAACCAGGCGCCAGTCATCTCTTTTGCAGACAGAAGACACTGTCTTGACTTTGTACTTCCCCGGGATCTTAGAAGCTCAAGTGTCAGAATCTGAAACTAAGACTAAATATTATAACAAGAGCTAATCCTGTTAACTCCTTAAATTACTTGGGCCTGGGGGGCTCTGTGTTAGGGGCCAAGGACAAAGACCAGACACAGGTTGAGCATCCCTAATTTGGAAATCCAAAATCTGAAATGCTAAACTTCTTGACCACTGTCGGAACCCTCCAAAAGTTTCAGGTTTCAGATTTTCAGATTAGAGACGCTCAACTGCTAAAGCCTGTACAAGTATTGCAAAATCTGAAACCATCCCAGACATGTTGTATATGGGATACTGAACACATACATTTTTCTTATCACTTTACAGTATTTGAACATCATGAAGGACAGAAGAGTTTAACTCAGTATGATGGAGGCTTTTTTAACTCTGAAGTTAGGCTGAAATCAGGAAAGGGTTGCTGGCAGTCTCTGAGAGAATTTGGCACACTCTAGAATCTAGTTTCAGACTCTGAGATTCAAAAATTCTGTTTCCTAAAGTGTGTCTAGAATTGATCTTTCAGGAAAAGACTTTGCTAGCCGGATTTACATGCCCACATGAAGGAAGCGTGCGTATGAGCTACAGAACTGATCTGAAGGTAACAGCAGTATGTGCCATCCCAGTGAGCCCTCCAACCCGCAGACCAGTGTACCTCTGTTCAAGTTAGTAATCAAAACAATTGATGGAAAAGGAATCTGAGTGGCTTGGAGAATTAGGTCGCCACCTCCACCAATGGCTCGTTCCCTCTGCAGGGAAGACACTTTTATGCCTGGCAGAGAGTTTGTCTCTCCCTGAATCCAGCTGCATTAAGCACTAAAATCCTTGCTGATACGCCTCTATGTCTGAGTTCAAGGGAAAACATTCTTGCTTCCCACCATAGCTTAAACATGTCCTCTTCGCAAAACTTTGACACCAGGGGCACACGCATGGCAAACTTGAGAAGATTTCAGTGGAGTCCTCTCCCTTAAGCTTTGATTTCTCTTTAAACAGATACTTTCTTTCATTAACTGTGATTATAAAGTGTCATGTGAGGAGGGAGCCAGCTGTGAGTAGCCACTCACCCCCTATGCGTTTGCTCCTGGTCTGAGACCCTAGGGAAGCTTTATCTCTGCCCTGCTGTGATGCTGATAAAAATCTATAAACAGACCACTGGGAGGAGTTAGGGAGAGACAAGATGGAAGAGTTTCTTCTTTTGATAATAGAACAAACAAAATGAGAGCTCATCTAATACTGAGTCTGTGACCCAGTTTTCTCTCTCAGCTTTCTCTCCCTTAATCCCTATTGTTCACTCTTGGTCTGTCTCTCTCTTTAACTTTACAAATTTATCTAGAAGATTCTGTTCCTTTGCCATAATTATATTGTATTTTTTTAAGATTTATTTATTTTAATTAGAAAGGCAAATCTACAGAGAGAAGGGGAGACAAAGGAAAAGATCTTCCATGTGTTCATACATTCCCCAAGTGGCCGCAATGGCTGGAGCTGAGCTGAGGTCTTCCACATGGGTGAAGGATCCCAGGGCTTTGCACCGTTCTCTACTGTTTTCCCAGGCCACCAGTAGGGAGCTGGATGGGACTTGGTGCAGCCCTGTCACAAATCAACACCCCTAAGGCACTCTGTCCTGATGTCTGAAGGGGAAGGATTGGCCAATGAGTCATTGCACTGGGCTCCATGATGTATTTTTTTTAAAAATGATTTTTGGAGCCCGGCACAATAGCATAGTGGTTAAAGTCCTTGCCTTGCACGCACTGGGATCCCATATGGGTGCCGGTTCTAATCCCCGCAGCTCCACTTCCCATCCAGCTCCTTGCTTGTAGCCTAGGAAAGCAGTTGAGGACGGCCCAAAGTCTTGGGACCCTGCCACCTGCATGGGAGACCCAAAAGAGTTCCTGGCTCCTGGCTTCAGATTTGACATAGCTCCACCTGTTGCAGCCACCTGGGGAGTAAATCATCAGATGGAAAATCTTCCTCTCTCTCTTTCCCCTCTATATATCTGACTTTTTTAAAAATAAATATTAAAAAAAGAAAAATAAGTGGAGCAGCTGGACTTTGAACCAGTTCTATAGGGGATGCTGGCATCACTGGTGGCAGTTTAACCCATTGTGCCACAATGCCAGAGAAGATTGAATAAGATTCAAGCTAAATTTTTTTGAACTTCAGTTTGTCATATCAAACCTATAGCAGTATCTCGTGCTATAGCCTATCCTATTGATCTTAATTTAGTTTGTTAAGTGTCCTGAATCTAGCTACATTTTCAAATTAATCTCTAACTTCTTGGAGTGTACTAGAAAATAATAACGTGGGAGAAGGTCTGAGGGATAACACACACGTAGTAACTCTGCCTTCAATTCAAGTTGGGGAGATTTTAGGGTTTTTGCTTCTGCTTTATTTGCTTTCTATTTTCCCTCTAGGCACTAAGATACATGACAGTGTAATGGTTCAGAAATGTTTAACACTAAGTGCCTTGATTAAAATACTGCTCAAAGATTCAAACAGCCTAATTAGCAATTAGTTTACCACTTATTTATAAAATGTTCTGTAGTTAATCCTGTCTCAGGAAGAGATCTACCAATAAGCTGGGCCTTTTCTGACTGTTTGCTCATCAAGTAACACTCTACCAAGGGTGTGTGTGTGTGTCCCTCCTGTGTCATTACCTGCTTTTATTTTCATTTGTGATCTTATGGAAATGTTCTCACTCGGTGTTTTCTTAACTGTCTCACCCTCATATGCAAGTCTAGGCTTCTTGTAACCGAGGACTTGATATTCTACATGCCGATCCCTGATCAGAGAGAGAGACAGCACTTGGCAAAACTTGTCCCCATTCTGGGAAAGACAAATCTTACTTTCTGGATGGTGTCAGGTTGCTTGTTTTTAAGTCCTTTAATTCTGTGTTTTCCCAGTTAAACTATAGACTTATAAAATCTCCATTGACAGATTCCTTGCATCTGGAAACTGCAGCTCCTTAGATGTGTCATGGCCTGTGGATCAGTGGCCATGCATGTGCAGGCCACCTCTGTGAGGGCATTTGTTGACTGTGCCCCCAGGGGTTCTGCAGACAACTCCCCTTCCTTCTTGGTGAGACCCATAGTTGATTGGTTTGTTTCCTTACAGGTGAATCGATTTAGTAAAGTGGAAGACCGAGCCATTTTTGTCACTGACCGTCACTTGTATAAAATGGACCCCACGAAGCAGTACAAGGTGATGAAAACGATCCCACTGTACAATGTAAGTTTTCTGTGCTCCTATCTGAACAAAGTTCTAACCCAGAACTCAAAGGCACTAACAGGTCCACAAATTAACTGCAGTAATTTTGGGGGCTTCAGGGAGCCTGTGAATTCCTGAAACTGCATACCAGTATTGTGGTCTGCTCAGATGTACAATTCTCAATAAGGAGAGATCTAAAGGTTCTAAGAGATTAATGAAGAAAAAAAAATTCTAAATTTAAAGACTATAGATTTGATGTGATCTTGATTCCTACTCCCACTCACTCCTTAAATATGCTGGATATAATGTATTTTCTTACATATTTTTGTAATATTTATTTCTGTATGGAGATGGATTTAAGCAGAAAATAAGGGGATTACTTTATGAATAATCACTTGTCTCCAAAATGTGAAAAGTTAATCTTTTCACCAATATATATTTTATATGGATTTAAGTGTTGGTTGTGTGATCTCTGATCTGACTTCACTGTAATGTTACTGCATCCACTGGGTTCTCAAGTTCTATAATCATTTTTTATTTGAAAAATGGAATATGGTGAGTATCTCCTTGAGTCTCATCATATGACTCATTTGTTTCTGGTCCCTGGGGTCTGGTTTACAAATGACTTTTCAGAAAGATCCTACTGATTTTTTCATGTGTCTCTGACTTTTCTCTGCCCATTCACAAAGAGGGAAATGTGTGTTTGTCCAATGCTTGGATGAATCAGGGGCATTATTTGACATGATTTTTAAGCCTTTTGGTCACTATAAAGAGGAATAGAAAACAATAAATGATAGTGTTATTTTATGAAAACTGGGATCCTTTGGGTTGCAAGGCACAAGGAAAGTGCACTGTCCCTGGCTTTGTTGAGTGGTCTGCTTGTGGCTCAGAGTGGCCTTCACTGTGTCCCCACCACCAACCCCAACACACACACACCGTGTCTGTCCCCACCACCAATCCCAACACACATACACCTCCGTCCCTATCAGTAGGCACTGGCCTTCACCATGACTGGCCTTCACTGTGTCCGTCCCTACCACCAACCCCAACACCCACACACACACATACACACACCGATTCTGTCCCCACCACCAATCCCAACACACATACACCTCTGTCCCTGTCAGTAGGCACTGGCCTTCACCATGACTGGCCTTCACTGTGTCTGTCCCTACCACCAACCCCAACACACACACACACACACACACACACGCACACATACACACCCCTACTTCTCTGTCCCTGTTAGTAGGCAGCAGATTGTATCTTAGAAGAAGCTTGCCATCTAAGAAAGCAGTCTACTTGTGACACTTGGGGTTATGGTCCTCTTAGCAAAGACAACTTACGTGTGAATCACACTTGAGCTTCATAACCCTGCCTCCTATAGTACCAGATGAAGGGCAGTGAGGGAGGAAGTTGTGTTCTGTCAGGATCTGATGAAGGATGGGACCAAATGAAAATGAACTGAGGAGTGCACCTCACATCTGGTCCTTATGTATGAGGTGAGATCTGCTAGGTGCACAGTATTAATTGTGTGAGTGTTAAGCACGTCTTTGATCTGAAGTTATTTCTCCAATCTATGTTCCTTCCTCATGTTAACTGGGCATCTTGTGTTTCCCATCGTCATGGATGATAACAGTAGCTGTGTGTGTTACAATAAAAGCAAAATACCAGCAGTGATTCCCGTTATCACAGGTGCTCTTAACACTCTGCTTGTGTTCCCTCGTCTTCCCATATGGTTCTCATGCACACTAGCCTACTTTCCAACAGCCAACAGCTCTGTCTAAAGGCTGCCTCAGGCTGCCAGAACCCACTCTGCTCCCAGCCACTCAGTAGGTAATGAGTGCCTGGATGATAGGACTCCAGTTCCATCACTCACTGGCCACAGTAATTTTCTGGAACCTCCAAGCAAGAGTAAGCTGTGCAGTCACCTGCAGGGCTACCGTCCCGGCCCTGAACCATCTTCCTATCTTCCCACCTTCCCACACTAACTTGCCCACATCTCTGCACCTCTCATGTCAGCTGCATATTCTCACCCACCTCTACCTCAAGGTCTCTCCTGGGAGGAGTTCACTTGGGAACAGTGGCTGCCTTTTAGAAAGATGAAAATTGGGTGGCATGGGGAACTCCTAGACATATCTGTAATTTTTGCTTTAATAACCTGAAGCATGTTGTGTGACAAAAGTCTGCTTGATGAGAATATATTTGTTATATTATTCCTTATTGTTTTTCATGTGATTAAAATATATTGAAACTATAGAAAGGTTAGTACAGGAACATTTTAGAAAAAAATTATGATGATGCTAACAGGAAATAATAGGGCAAGTGAGGGAAAGTGATTTAACTTGTAGCTGTGAGATCTCGAGGTGAAACTTTCATGCATCCGTCCAGATCATTGGAAGCCTGTCATGGTAGAGTTCAGTGCTGATGATTAAAATTGAAGAATGGGCACTGATGTAACTGGAGGCTGAAATCCAGAGTCCAGAGGAAGAAACAGAGCAGATTTATCGAACATCACAGTTGATAGGGGAGCATTTGCTGATGGTTGGGATGCCCACATCCCACATCGGAGGACCTCCACTTCCTGTGCCAACTTCCACTTCTTGGGTGACAACAGTCATGATGGATCAAGTAACTGGGCTCCTGCCACTCACATTGGAAACCTCAGTTGAATTCTCAGCTCCTGGTTCAGACTTACCCCTTGCCCAGCACTGGTTTTTGCAAGCATTGGGGAAGTAATCCAGTGAATGAGGAAGATACTTCTCTTTGTCTCTGTCTCTGTTTCTCTTGGTTTCACTGTCACTTGCACTCTTTCTCTGCCCTTTAAATAACATCAGATGATTTTTGAACTAAAAAAAAAAATCTTAACCTTAAAAAGATAAGGGGAAAAAAAAGAACATCGCAACTAAAGGATGGAGAAAAGAATTAGAACTGTAATAAAAAGCAAACCTTTTTATGGGCCTTGATTTTCTCATCTCTTTAATGTGCTGAAGGAGCTGTGATTTCCCTTCAGATCCATATGGCTGTGAGTTATCCTAGGAAAGCAAAGAGCTACAGGAACTCCGTATTGGCAGATCACACTGGGAAGTTTTCAGGATAATCGTTATCTGTAAAGGCCTGCCTACCAAGGCCTCAGGCCCCTCTGCTCTCAACTCAACTTCTTGTTTCTGTGGCACGTGGGCTGTATGCCTGTCTCGTCAGGCTTTGCCAGCTCTAAGGAACAGCTACCTGTTTTGTGAAGTCATACCTTGTTCTTAGCAAGGGCATGGTAATCAGGAGAGGAGTCTCACGGAGACCCAAGAAAAGCTGCCACATGCCTGGCTTTTCAGGCAGCCCAAAGGGGCTGCGAGAGCCTGCAGGCACTCAGCAGCATGGGCATGGGGGAGGTGAAGTTTGTGCCATTCTTGGCATCTCTGTTTCTCTTTGTCTGTCAGGGTGCAGCAGTCACCTGCTTAGGCTTAGACCTGCCTCCACTGTCCCAACAACCTCTGAGAGTCTCATCCTGCAACAGTACATTAAACAGGGTCTCAGATGTGGCCTTACCATAGCAAATGATTCTGCATGACCCAAATGATTTTTTTAAGATTTGTTGATTTTTATTTTAAAGGTAGAATTACAGAGAGAAGGAACAACAAAAAGAGATCTTCCATCCATTAGTTCATTTCCCAGATGACCGCAATGGCTAGGAGCCAGTAGTTTCTGCTGAGTCTCCCACATTTGGTGCAGGGTCCCAAGGACTTGAACCATCCTCTACTGCTTTCCTGGTCCATAAGCAGGGAGCTGTATAAGAAGTGGAACAACCAATATGGGATGCCAGTGCCACAGGTGGAGATTTAAGCTGTTACACTGCAGTCCTGGCTCCCAAATAACTTTTACTTATGTGTGTGTGTTTATCTCAGAGACAGGGAATTAGAAAGTGAGCACCTGCCTAGTGTTCTTGTGGAGAATCTGGGAACTCAATTCAGTTCTCAAGCAAGAGTAACAGGAGGGCCCGGCGTGGTGGCGCAAGTGGTTAAAGACACTTTTGGCCTCGTCCTGCAGACTTTGATGTGTCTGTGTCTCAGTCACTTCTTTTTTTTTTTTTTTTAAGATTTATTTATTTTGGGCCCGGCACGGTGGCGCAGTGGCTAAGGTCCTCGCCTTGCACGCCCGGGATCCAATATGGGCGCCGGTTCTAATCCCGGCAGCCCCGCTTCCCTTCCAGCTCCCTGCCTGTGGCCTGGGAAGGCAGTCGAGGACGGCCCAAAGCTTTGGGACCCTGCACCCGTGTGGGAGACCCGGAAGAGGCTCCTGGCTTCGGATCGGCATAGTATCGGCCCGTTGTGCTCACTTGGGGAGTGAATCATCGGACGGAAGATCTTCCTCTCTGTCTCTCCTCTCTGTATATCCGCCTTTCCAATGAAAAAATAATAAAAATAAATCTTTTAAAAAAAAAGAGTAACAGGAACCCAATTGTCTGAGTTAGCACCACTGCCCTTCTGGAGTCTACATGAGCAGAGAGCTGGAGCTGGAAACTGATTCCAGGAGTTCTAATGTGGGACATGAGAGTCCTAACTCACATTGTTGCCTTAATCCCCCAGCCAAACACCTGCCTGCTAGTACTTATGTTCTTGTTAAACAGTGAATCTACATAGTTGTTCTGGACTTTTCCTGATATGACATGCATAATTCCTATAGGCCATTTGGAGCATACCTGGTATTACTCCTCTGCTGCTATTCCCTGGTGCTTCTTGCTGTCCTCAGGCCCAAGCCATATTTGGACCTGTGTCACAGAAGGTGCTGGACATTGGGTTGTGGTTAGGTTCCCTTAGTAGAAAGATGAGTGGGAGCCAGGTTCATCAGCATCCTTAGACCCTCTAACTCTCCCCACCCCCGGGGCTAGGATCCCAGTCTTTGTCATGCAGGACCAAAGATTATGCTCTTGAGGCACCCAGCATGGATGAAACTCAGCCGATGTTGCAACTTGGCAGCATGTTTAATCCACCTCTTAGTCTCCTTTCACAAGTTCTCCCAGCAGAAAA